GTCAAGTAATCATTGTCAAGTCGTCCTTTTTTCCTAAACAAAAAAATCTCCTCTCATGCGCCTTCCAAGTTCCACCTCCCTATAAGTTGTACGTATCTTTGACAATGAATTTAATGTTTTTTTGTTAATTACTTGCACGAGCTTCACATGGGCAGAGCTGGTGCAATTCCTACCATCTATTTCCCGATCACCTAACCGACCTCAAATTTGTCAACCAATCATACACTCATTTATTCCCAATCTAACCCAAACTATAAATTTTTGCAGTTGAGTATCCATATCATGCATTAAAAAAAATAAAAAACACAATTTTAAATCATTTCGTATTAAGCATACTTATAATTTGATTTATATTTAACATGTTTTTTTTATGGAAACACAATTTTAGCTTAGGACTAAAAATTTAAAACTATTTTATGAATAGAATGTCAATAAAACTCTTAATTAAATTGTGAAAGTCATTTTCTAATCAATAAAATAAGACTTGTGAATTATCATACTAAGTATTTCTTTTTGAAATTTCCGAACAAAACAACTCACAACTCACATCATATACTATCGCTTTTACCTTACTTGTTATTTTTACGCATCATAGAAAATTTTTAAAATATATATCCATCAAGACTTATTTTATAAGTCAATCTTATCAAAAAAAAAAAAACAATATACGTCACATCCAAACCTATAAAAAAAACCATAAAAATGTTCTTTACCTAAACTTTTTTTTATGTCCATTTCTTTCTATTTTTTTTTTATATCTATGCCACTATTGCAAAAAAAATATTAATAATCACTCTATCTCCTGTCATAAAATTTCTCATGCATCATTGACGATCTGATCATCTTGCTTTGTCGATTACTACACGAGGGTCACATGGGCGGAGCTGGTGCAATTTCTACCCTTCATTTCTCAATCAACTTATCAACTAATTTTATAATGTTAAATTATTCAGGTCGTAAATAATCATTCGCAGAATTTTTCAGCACAAGATGGGGAAACTTTTTGTCATCAATCGCATATTTCCTTTAGACAAAATAATAATAATAATAATAATAAAACAATATAATAGGATTTTGATTTGCTCGAGTCTGACCATTGAAACCCTCAAAGACATATGCATCCAACTCTCTTTGTTATATATATATATATATATGTGTTACTTCATCATTGATGAGTTTTAAATTTTTTGATTTTATCAATTTGTCTAAAAGTATAATCGATATTAGATAATATGTAACAATCAATAATTTTTTATAAAATTATATATATATATATTAGTGATGGCTTAAAGATCTTGTCCAATCTACACTTATTGGTTAAGTGTTTCATGTAAAGTGCTAAAATAAACTCTAACTTATCCTAAAGGACAATTTCAATGGGAAATCATAATAAATTTTAATTTACATGATAATGAATTAGAGGAAAAAGAAAAAAATTACATAATTCGAGCTAAACTTGTCTTCTATGACAGATTGGAGCTTTATTATGGTATTTTAGATGGAAATATTTTAAATGAACATCTGCAAATTGAATGAAATCTTTTAACTGGTATTAAAGTTGGATAAACAAAGAAGTGATACATTCTAATATCGATCCCATTTGGGGCAAATTTGATATAAACAAAAAGTTCGAAACTTAAAGGTAACAAATTAATAAGTTAAGAACTAGATTGATGAGGTTTCCCCTTGTTAATTGTAAATTAATGTAGATTAATGAATCCTCACACTTACGTTCGTAATCCACGTTTAACGACTTGACCGACCAAAACATTAACTATTGGAAATTTGATCCTATCATGCCTAATGGGGTACTGGATTAGGCATTGATAATCTCGGGACAGACGACGATTTTCTTTGGTTTTCGAAAAAAATAAACAAGAAATGTTAGGTACAAATCCATGCAACTGATATCAACGTTACTTTTTGTCAATTTTATCCGTAACGTTATCTAACATTTTCAATTGTACCTTTCAATCTATTTATCCAGTAAACATTTATGTAACTACTCAAGAATTTAAAACGCTTATTATCACAAAATCGATAGTAAAAAAAAAAAAATGGAAATCTGGAATACTCATTTTTTTTTAAAAAAAAAATTTGTTTTAAATGGGATTCAAATTTTTTTAGTTTTCTTAACTGCTAAATTTAAATTTTGAATCTACAGAGGATTCGATTTTTTTTTCTTCAAAATTTTAAGTTTTAACTGAATTTTTTATCAATAATTTTTAAAATAATAAATTTGATTAAGTTTTGATGTGCAAATTTAAGGAATTTGGATGAAAAGAGGATGGAAAGATAAAATTGAAAACTTTAGATAACGATAAGGATAAACTCGATGGAAGCTATGGACGAGGACACATATTGATAACGAGATTATAGATAAAAGTTGCTTTTGCATTTAACCCAAAAAAAAAAAAAAAAAGACAGACATTTTTATTTCACATGGAACTGATGGAAGCACAGTACAAAGGTTTACAAAGAAATTGCAAGGAAATAGCCACGTTCACGCTGCCTCGTACACAAAGTTCTGCCTCATGCGTTCTTGTTGGCAAAAGAACGAACAAACATTTGATTCTGAAAGCTTGAGCCGTTCATTTTTTCATGCCATATAAAGAAGAGGGACGAGTTTTCCACAGCGAGAATAAGTGAGTGTCTATCTCAGGTCCTTAGCCTCCGAATTGGACCACCAACCGATGCAACCCTACACCAGATCTATTTAGCCTAGTCGACAACCTACATTCTTTCCTACGATTTTACCATGTCGTTTCCTAACTTTTGTTCATTGGTTGCTTTAAAGGAGGAAAAAAAAAAAAAAAGTTCAATCAAAATTATTCTCTGGCTAAGGGCAAGGAGACATTGATGCAGTTTTGCAACAAGTTGCATACAGATAGAGACATTGAGTTCTAATTTTTTTCCTGCTTCGTCAATAATAAAAGCTGCTTCCCACCCAACCTCCCCTCACTCCTGCTAGGAATGGCAATAGGACGGGTCCTTTCTCTGAAAATTTTACTCCATCCTCGTCTAGCTTTTTAGTATGGGATAATATATATATATATTTTTTATCATTTTCGTTCTAAATCGGGATAGAGATACTTTATGAGATACTAATGTTTTGTTTAATTTTTTATTTTTATCCTGTTTAGTTTTATTTTATTATTAAATTTTAAACTTAACAAAAAATGATAATTCATATAGAAAATAAATCTTAAAAATTAATAATCATATATTTTATATAAGATATAATTATAATTTTCGATATAGAACGGAGCAAATGGGTAAATATCATCTCCGCTCCATTCTCATTTAAATTAATACGAGACAAGATGTCTCCTCTCATTCTCTAATTCACTTGAGAAATCTCTATGTTGACTGAGGTTGGGCGGGAAGCAAATTATCATCCTTGATTGATACCGATTTTTCTTTCTTTCTTAAAAATAAATAAATAAATGTTAAAATAAGTAGTAGGACATATAGTTTTTTTTTTTTTTTCCAGATTCGTTGGCATTGTATTGGTCCTAATTATCTTAATAATTTCTTTAAAACAAAACCCCTGCAGTTTGTAATAAGACGTGAAAAGAAGGGAAATGTGGAATCCTATGAATCTAAGGATCGGCTTGATTGAAGCAATGAAGATATTATTGCAAAATATCAAAAAAAATAATAATAATAATAAAATTGGTGAAATGTAAGGTAGCAAAGTTGGCATGGTGGTGAGATTAGTGTTGCAGAATATCATGAACATTGATTGATTCTATAAAGAAGTTTTTTCCTTTGTTTTTTATTTTATTTTTTTACAATTCCCATCTTAAAGTTGATTGAATCTATATTATTTTAATTTGCAATACTTTAAATGCAAGTGATTTATGTCATGGGAAAAAATTTGAGCGTTGAATTATCTTTGAATCACTATTTCAGATATTTTTTTTTTTTTATCAAAATTTAACCAGATCATTCTCATCCAACTTTCATACAAAAAACATTTTAAAATATAAAAGAAAATTGGAAGCATGAAAATAACAATGAATTTCGGAACTATTAAAAAAAATGAATACTTTCTTTTCAAGCTCCTCAAAAATCTTTTGATGGAAAACAAATACCAATAATTTCAGTCCTTTATTCATTACATAAATCATCCTGATGTTTACAGATATAATAAAAAAGATTTAAAAAAAATTAAGAACGAAAAATACACCATTTGACAATAATTCAATTTCAAAAACAACAGAAGAGCAAAACTATCTCAAGAAAAAGAAAAAAAAAAGGGCCAAGTTAATCATTATAAAAAAGACTCCTCGATAAACTGAAATCATTTTTTTTTCCCAAAGCCCAAAATGAAAAAAAATGCTATTTTAACAGGAGAAAACAAAGCAAGTCCTAGTTAATTAGGAATAAAAAAGTATATATAATAAACAATAGTAATAATCTAATCTCCAACTCCAGCGCTGTCAAGCTGCATGCTTTTCTCTTCTTCCAAACTTACTGCAGAGAGAGAGAGAGAGAGAGAGAGAGAGAGAGAGAGCTCTTCTGCTACCCTCTGGTGGTTTGCGTCTTGCAGAAGGTTCTCTTTGATTTTTTTATTATCTTCACCACCATTTCTCTTACTACTATACATATTTTTTTTTTAAAAAAAAACTAATCCCAACAAAATCATAGTAAAAAAAGAAAAAAGAAAAGAAAAACAAATATTATTGCATTCAAAGAGGTTTCGTGGAGAGAACCATTGTGTATAGATAGAGAGAGTCTAAAATTCCTCTTTAATCTCTTCACGTAATCACTTTCTGATGCCTTAATCCCCTACTTCAAGTTTCTCTCTTTAGAATGCGTTAATACAAAACGTGTCTGTTGATTTTGTCTCTCTGTTTTTTCTTTTTTTATTTCTTGCCTTTTGCTGTCTTTTCTTGTCTTTTTTTTTTTGTTGGTATTGTGAGGGTAGAATTCTGGGTTTTTTGGTTAAATAATTTGTGGGCTTGTTTGGATTTGAGCTCATTTGGGTGATTGTGATGATGGGTCGGTGATGATTTAGGGTTTGTTGGAGTAATCATTGGTGGGTGTGTTGTGATTTTGTTTGTTTTTGAGGAATTTTCAGGTGGTTTGTTGCTGATTTGGGGTTTTGTGGAGGATTTGAGGGTAAAGATTGGGGCTTTTTTGGGATAAAATCTCTGTTGGGTGTGGTTTCAATTGGTTCGTTGTTGCTTCAATCTTTAGTGGTTTTAGGGGTATTTGCTGGTTTTGCAGATTTCAGTGGTGGACTGGTATTGAATCATTTACGTGCAATCTGACTGGTCTTGGGGATTTATTTATTTAAATTCTCTCTTAGTATTGGTGTTTCGTCCTGGATTTTATTTTGAGGTGGATAATTCTGCTTTAAAGATAAGATGAGTTCAAGCATCACAGAAGGTGTGGTAAATCAGGCCAAGCTTGTAGTTCATATAGCAGAAAATGGCCATTCATTTGTGCTTGATTGTGATGAAACAACGCCTGTGGAGGCGGTTATGCGGTATATTGAATCAGTTTCTTTGATTAACTTCAATGACCAGCTTGTTCTGTGTTTGGAAAAGAAACTTGAACCTCAGCGGCCTCTTTCTGCTTATAAGCTTCCATCTAGTGATGGAGAAGTGTTTATATACAATAGAGCAAGGATGCAAACCAATGCCCTTCCCCCTCCACTTGAACAAATTGATGTCGTGGAAACTGCGGACCCGCCACCACCAGCTTCATTGCATAACCCCCATCCTTTAGATGATGCTCCGGACCCAGCTTTGAAGGCCTTGCCTTCTTATGAGAGACAATTTAGGTACCATTACCATAGGGGTCATGCAATTTATAGTAGAACCCAAGTAAAGCACCAGCATTGCCAGAGGTTATTGAAGGAGCAAAAGGTTCAGGAGAGGGCGATGGAGGTTGCTAGGATTAATGTGCAACAATTCTATAGAGCAATTCTTCAGAATTACTCAGATTTCATGAAGCGTTATACACAACAACACAGGATAAATTCAGATCTTTTAACGAATTTTGAGAGAGACTTAGAGAAACTGAGGTCGATCAAGCTTCATCCAGCTGTGCAGTCTGATTCGCGCAAAAGCTTAGCCGATTTTGTGAAGGAAGATAACTTGAGGAAGGCTGTGGAGAATTGTAGCAATTCACATAGGCAGTTTGAGAAGAAGGTTTTGGAGTTCAAGCAAAAGTTTAGTGATGCAAAGCGCAAGGTGGAAGAATTATTTTCTTGTGGAGCTTCATCATCTATTCGGAATCTAGAGCTTACCTTCAAGGAGCATCAACGATTCATCAATGACCAGAAAAGCATAATGCAGTCTTTGAGGTTGGTTGACTTCAATTTCAATCATTTGAACTGCCTTCTTTTTTAAAAATAAAAAATAAAAAATTCCGTATGATTCTGTGCTTGTTTGAAACTTTGTGATTGGTTCAGTAAGTTGATTCTTTCGAAGCATTTCTGTGATAATACATCTTTAGCACTGTCAAGTATTGAGTTTGTGTGTTTTAGACATTTGATTCCCTCATATAGACTGATTAGTAACAAAGTTAATTATACCCTCAACTTTCTCTCCATTTGATGCATGTTGTGCTGTTGATTATTTTGTCAACGATGACCTATGAAGATTTTCACCTTAAAGGACCATGAGAGGAGCAGTCCAAAATTATGCTTTGGTTCAATGCCATTGGTCTGACAATTTTTGTTGGAAGTAGGAGCTGCACATAAATGAATCAGGATTGTTGGTCCCAATTTACCTCTAGATCTCAATTCAGCTGGTGTGCGTTTTGGAAATTTTAAAACATTCAAGCGAGTGAAATAAGTTGATTGAATGATTGGGTACCCTGTTGGTGTTTTTATCCACAAACCTTGAGAACTATGAAAAATATGCAAAACCTAGAATTCATTAAGCTAACCCTTCAAAATCCAAGATATGTGTTTAATGATTTGATGAAAAACTAGGGTCCCTGAGATCCACAAAAACAGAATTCCGATATTCAACTTTTTTATTCAACAAACAGCCCTCTAATGCATGAACCCATAAGAGTCCTGATACATCTAATGAAGCAAACTCCCTACTAAAGTAAAATACCAAATGGTACTAATATTGAGGGTCCCAAATCTTACAAATATCCTCAATAGCAAGTTACAAGCAAAACCTAAATTTTCTATTTTCTTGACTCACATTAGTTGCTGTAGTAGATAGGATGTAGGAAGATAATGTACCTTCCTCTGATTGATGGTTGTGAGCTTATATTCATGCAGCAAAGACGTAAGCACGGTAAAGAAACTTGTGGATGACTGTCTGTCAAGCCAGTTATCCTCCTCAATTCGTCCTCATGATGCTGTTTCAGCCCTGGGTCCTATGTATGATGTCCATGACCAGGATCATTTGCCCAGGATGCTGGCTTGTGGTCATTCAATTTCCAGGCTGCTTGATTTTTGCAAGGATAAGAAGAATGAGTTGAACGTCTTTGTGCATGATTACCTACAAAAGATAGCCTATGTTACTTTCCTCATGAAAGATGTGAAGTTACAGTTTCCTGTTTTTAGAGAGGCAATGTTGCGTCAGGATGATGTATTTAGGGACCTAAAACTATTCCGTGGGATTGGTCCTGCATATAGAACCTGCCTTGCTGAAGTAGTGAGAAGAAAGGCTTCAATGAAACTTTACATGGGCATGGCTGGACAACTGGCTGAGCAGCTTGCAACAAGGAGGGAGGTTGAGATTAGGAGACGGGAGGAGTTTCTGAAAGCAAACAGTTCATATATACCTAGAGATATATTAGCATCAATGGGGTTATATGATACTCCTAATCAGTGTGATGTGCATATAGCTCCATTTGACACTAATTTGCTTGATATTGACATCTCAGACGTGGACCGTTATGCTCCTGATTATTTGGCTGGACTTCCTGCGAAAGGTGATAAGACTCCAAACTTGAAAGGTTCGTGTTCAATGTCTAATGACAGTTCTCACTCAGCCGAGATGGAAGAAATTGGTGAGGAAGCACTTGAGAAAGATGGCTCTGAGCAGCCCCTTGAGAGCTGTGAGTTGTTAGAGATTGCTGGAACTAGCAAGACGGAAGTCGAGAATGCAAAACTGAAAGCTGAACTAGCTTCTGCAATAGCCCTGATATGTTCCCTTTGCCCAGAAATTGAATATGAGTCGATGGATGATAGTACTGTGGATAGTCTATTGAAGAATGCAGATAAGACAACTGAAGCCTTGCGGCTGAAAGATGAATATGAAAAGCATCTTCAATCTTTGCTTAAGGAAAAGCAAATGCAGTGCATGTCATATGAAAAACGCATTCAAGAACTAGAGCAGAGATTGTCTGACCAGTATTTGCAGGGGCAGAAACTTTCAAATAGTAAAGATGCATCTGACTTTGCTCTTTTAGCTGCAAAGACTGAAGACTGTAAACCAGAAATCTCCAGTGGCGGTGAAACACACATGCCTTATTCTTTGACCTCAGAACCCATGGACGAGGTTTCTTGCATTTCTAATTCTTTGAATGCCAAACTGGGGCTTTTCACAAGGCAACCAAGCAAAGGTAGAGAAGGGTTTGATGAAAATATGATGGACTCCTCTGGGATGTTGAATACTCAGCTGGATTCATCAATGGTGGAGCCACATCGTGAAGAGCTGCAAGTTTGTGGTAAAGATGGGAAGGATAAGATGGTGGGACAACTGGGCATTTCACTGACAAACAGTTCCACAGCTGAGAGTATGCCTGAGCCTCTCCATGTCTCACCTTCTGATGCAGATACTGAGCCTAAAGTCAGTGGTGACCGTGACATTGTGTTAGAATTGCAAACTGCACTTGCAGAAAATTCAAACCAACTGAGTGAAACTGAAACGAAGCTCAAAGCTGCTCTAGATGAGGTTGCCATGCTTACTAGTGAGTTAGAAATGAGTCGGAAGCTCCTCGATGAATCTCAGGTACTGGTACGTCAACTGTGTTTTGTCCTCTGTGGTTTTCTTGTTGTTTATGTGCTCTTATGTTTTTGATTATATTGTTGAATTATTGTAATAGGTGATGTTCCTCTTTATCAATATTTAGAACTCGTACCATATTGCTCAACATTATTGAAATGCTTAGGTAATCTTTTTTAATAATGCATATGGTTTGATGTTATTTTGGACATCCTGTGATGGAAAGGCTTGTTAGTGGACTATAGATTCCTAAAAATCCCTAATAACAAATAATTTTCCCAAATAATCAGCTTCCTTTTGTTCTTCAATTAAGCTCGGCTTCAGTTTCTCTCTCTTTTCCATGCATAAAAATATGTTCAAAATGAATTTATAAACTCGTCTTAACATATACTGATAATTTCAACTTCTTGCTGTGCAAAAGATGAATTGTGCTCACTTGGAGAACTGCTTGCATGAAGCAAGAGAGGAAGCTCAAACCCATCTTTGTGCAGCTGATCGGAGGGCCTCAGAATATAATAAACTGCGTGCTTCTGCTGTGAAACTCCGTGGTCTTTTTGAAAGACTTAGGAGCTGTGTATATGCTCTGGGTGGAGTTGCTGATTTTGCTGATTCTTTGCGTGCTTTAGCTCAATCTTTGGCCAGGTAATTTTCCAGAATCCTCTATTTTACTTTCTTTGGCCAAGCATCAACCCAGTTGCAAGTTCAGTGCTGTCTTATTCCCTTGCTCTGTTTTGAAATTTGTTCATATTGATGGAGAACTTTTTCATCATGTTATTCACAATTTATTCTCTGTCAATACGAGGCATTGATGTTACCCCCACACTATTTTAACCTCCTTTTTTATTTTTCTGCTTACAAATATTGGTAGCCATTACGAGGAATCTTAAATTTAAGGGTTGCAGGAGTTTTTTGGGGCTTATTTTCTAATTTCTTATAGAGGTTGGCATTGGCATTTAAAATTTATATGGTGATTGCCAGTGGACTGAATTGCTATCCTTTTTTCTAAACTTTCAGTCTTGAGCACTGCCAAATTACTTTAATTTGATTATTTTCAGTTCCAGCAATGAGAATGAGGATGAGGGTGCTGCTGAGTTCCAGAAATGCATACGAGTCCTCGCAGATAAAGTTGGCTTCTTGTCCACACCCAGTGCAGAGCTGCTTGACAAGTACCCAAAGCTTGAAGCTGCAAATGAACAGCTTGGAAAAGAATTGGAAGAGAAGAAAGAGCTGGTTGCCACCCTATACAAAAAGCATCAACTTGAGAAGCAGGTATTCTTAACTTGCTGATGGAGTTGGTGCTTTATTTATAGAGCAACATTTTAATCAGTACCCTAGTTGCCAAGGATGTTCAATTGCTGATTTACTATTTACAAGCTAATATCCATGCTTCGCCTACTATACATGAATCTTCATTTTTGTTTTCTCATCAATTGCTTGTTGGTTTTAAACTCAAACCCCCATAAGTTCCTTATTATTATTATTATTATTTTGGGGTAAAAAAGAAAAGGTTCCTGGCTTAGTAATTGGCCTTTGTTTCCAGTGGAGCCCTTAAACAGTGGTTTGTTTATCTGGTGCTTCTGTGTTGGCATGTTGCTAAATTCAAATGTTTCTTGCCCCCCAATTTGTTGAGTTTTTCCCTTTCATGTGCAGGGATCCCTTTTTCATGGTGCTCTGTGCTTTTTATCTTTTAACTGCAAAAGCTTGATATCTTTGTTGATGTTATTCTGCAGGCAAACAAGGAAAGGATATCTTTTAGCCGATTGGAAGTCCATGAGATTGCTGCATTTGTTCTCAACTCAGCTGGACATTACGAGGCTATTAACCGGAACTCCTCTAATTATTTTCTGTCTGCTGAATCTGTGGCCCTGTTCACAGACCATCTCCCAAGCCAACCCAGGTACATTGTTGGGCAGATTGTGCATATTGAACGCCAAGCCGTAAAGTCATTGCTTCCTACCTCAACAAGGCCTGACCATGGCAGGGCAGATCAAGCGGATCTTCTGATCACTGACCAAGGGACTGACCGGATGAACTTCAATTTGGGATCGACTTCCAACCCATACAATCTTCCTATCGGGTGTGAATACTTTGTAGTGACAGTAGCCATGTTACCTGATACAGCCATTCATTCAGCGCCTCCTTCCTGATCCCCTGCTTCAGGCAGATAAGAAGTGATGGAAGAAACTAAGTGTACATATATAATAATGATATTGAAAAGAAAAAGAAAAAAAGATATCCCCTCTTGTGGGAATTGAACTTCTTTTAACTTCTTGTACAGCTGATGATCCAAATTAAGTTGATTTCCCCGCATTGTATATAAATCTACTCTTTTTAAGCATGTACAAAAAAATATGTGAATATTCATCCGTCTCTTCACCTTTAATTGACTCTCATAATTTATTCCAAAATATATTTGCCTCTTCTGTTTTGAGTAATTTCTTACTGAAATCATTATTAGGTCTTAAGAGTATGTTATAAAATTCTCTTAGATCCGGAGATTGAGTAGTAAAATTCTCATAAATCCTTCCACATAACCTCTCTCCAGGGTTGTGAATTCCTAAACTTCATGGTTGTTTATTTGGGAGGAACTTCATGTCGTCCACTCCTCCGGTATAAGCTTTTTAGACGTCTCAGGAAACAAGGATATTGCATTAGTTTCCAACTTCATCTCTAGAGAAAGACTAAATTTTAGCGGGTCCAATATTAAAGACTCCTAATCTAGTAAGATTCTTTTCCATTAGAACTTCAAAAGACAACCGAGATCTTACGTAGGTCTTAAGTAGCTAGAATTTGCTCTCTCTCTCTCTCTCTCTCTATTTTTTAACAATTCACTAGTATTCTTCTCCATCAAATCGATGAATCAGATACTGCGAAAGAAACACACTGTGAGTTAATTTATTTTCTTGAGTAGCAGTACTGCATGAAAATTTACGTCAAACTATAATATTTATACCTGTTCTTTATTCCTTTTTTTTTTTTTTGTTAATTACTGGCTAAATTATAATTTTGCTCTGAATTTTGTACTAGAATGTGTTAAATTGATTATTTTTCGCCCTATCAAACAGGCGCAGGCTAATTTGGATAGAAAAAGAGGGCTTCCAAACAAAGATAGGATGATGAGGATGAATAGAAGAATGTTTACAAGGAATAAGAGAGTAGCAGTAGAGAGAGACTACGATATTGATTTGCTTTTGAGCATCCACCATGCAGAGGGCATAGACAACCCTAGCAACTATCCTTCAGTAATCAATAGGGATTACCGTGTTGTATTTTGGGTTCACCCTGATGATCAACTTGCAACACAAGTCGTCTCAGGGTCACCAGATCCTTCATGGAACCAGAAGTGTCGTATCGAGTTAGACAAGTCCTGGGATTGCAGGTTTTTGTATGTTGAGGTGCTTAGGTATGGATCCTCATCTGAGAGTAACCCGGGAACCTCTGATGGTATGAGCTTGGTGGGTAGGGTTCAGATACCGCTACCGAAGTTGTCAAGTAAAACTGGGGGCCGCTATGGACTTGTGAGGCTTCAAGAGGATGGGTATAAGGCTGAGGGACATATTATTTTGTCAATGCAATTGGTGAAGATAAATATAACATAGCTAATTAAGGACAGGTTATGAAGTTATTTGTTTTCTTTTTCTTTATTGTGATACTAAATTTGATGAGGTCCATAAATGTTAGACCTTATTTATAATATGGAAATATATAATTTGAAATACGTTACATGCTAATTCTATATGTAGTTGTTCTTTTTCTTGATTTTTTTTCTTCTTTTGGTTTTACTTTAATTCCAAGCAACTGACTAATAAAGCACTCGTCCAATCAAAGACGGGTGAGTTTAGACTCTGATTACTAAGGATCGAGGATGGAGTATCATCTCGTGAATTTAAACCCTATGACTGAGAAGAGAGTATAACTCCCTTAACCACTACTTTTCATATTCTTAATTAATGCCCATTTATCTGAGGGTATATATAAAAATATAGAAATTCAAAAAGCAAGTTCAGTTTTTACGTGGCAATTTATCTAAGTGTAAGGAAAAACAGAGGGTAATGTTTATGACATTGAGGAACCATCACATTTAATTATAACTAGCATATATCTTGTGTGTTGTCACAGATTGAGCTATATAATATTCTTATATGTTCATTCATATAGGATGTAAAATTTAAAAACAATTATGTAAAAGGATCACTGGAAAAAAAATTTAAAGTGAGTTATACAACATTCTTATGTATTCTTTCATATAAAATACAAAATTTAAAAATAATTATTTAAAAGGATCACGTAAAAATTTTTTTAAAAAAGAACTAAAACATACATCTTATATTTTGCCGTAGGATTGGCTAAAAGAAAAACCCGTAGCAAAGTTGAGTAATATAATGTTCCTAATTAGATATCATTTGATATAAGCATGTATTTTATTATAAATATATATAATAACTGGTAATTAAAATAATAATGTGATAGTTTTTTGAATTTTAGATGATTAATTTTTACCATATATTCTTTATCCGTAATTTGTTAATGAGATAGAAAGATCACTCAAAACAAAAAGACAAAAAACTTTGTCAAATCGAGAATTTGAAAGAAAAAAATAGAGATAAAATTACACACCATCAAAATTAAATGATCAAAACAAACTAAAGATCATGAAAAAATGATTAAAAAAAAAACTTTCACTAAAAGAAAAAAAAAACTTATAAACAATAAGATTGTGAACAGTTTTACTAAAAGCCAAGAAAAAATATTTATTATAGGGATAAAAATCAAATATGATAAAATTTTAATATTTATTATAAGGAAACAAAATCAAATATAATAAAATTTAAATAACTAAAATAATAAAAGGTTACAAAACAGGAACTAAAATAAAAATAAAATTCGCTAAAAGCTAAAAGAGGGGCTTAAAAAATACCGAAAGAGAAAAAAATGATTTACTATAGGACTAAAAATTAAATTTAATAAAATTTTAATGATCAAAATAAAAAAAGTTATAAAATAGGGACTAAAATAAAAATAAAATAAAATTTTAATATTTATTATAGAGAAAAAAATGAAATAAAATAAAATTTTAATAACCACAATAAAAAAAATTACAAAACGAAATTAAAATAAAAATAAAATTCACTAAAAGCCAAAAGAAGCTCAAAAATTGTAGCAAGAGGAAAAAAAACTGATTTATTATAGAACTAAAAATCACATATAATAAAATTTTAATGATTAAAATAAAAAAGTTACAAAATAGGAAATAAAATGTAAAATTAATTTAAAGCCAAAAGAGAGGCTTAAAGCGAATGAGAAAGAAAGGAAAAAAAAATCGAGCTATAGGCAAGGCAAGGCAAGGGGAAAAAAAGGAAATGGAGAAAGAAAAAGAAAAAAAAAAACCAAGGCTATATGCAAGGCTAGGCAAGGAAAAAATAAATAAATAAATAAATAATAAAAAATAAAAAATGAATGAACAGTTGAAACGCTACAATACTTTAGCGTTTTGTTTTAGTTTTTTTTTTTTTTTGTAATAGTGCTGAGGAAAATGCTAAATCATAGTAATACACAATAGGCATATATTGGTGTTGAGTCCGAGAAAATAGAGTTACGTAAATTCAAAGATGAAAACAAGAGAATCTACATTTAATTATGTGCGGAAAATATCTTTACACTGTCTTTAAGGAGATTATTGCCTCCACTATAATACTATAGAAATTTTAACAATTCACCTCTAGAATTCAACTTTACACTCAAGGAATTACGGACAGACACTCTCGAAATTCCTTCAACATAATTTCTCTTGAAGTTGTAGAATATATGAAGAGAAGAGTTTTGAGAGGAGGAGGATTGCGAGAAGAAAGAATTAATCCATTTTCTAAGTAATAGTCCTCTATTTATAGATCATTGGAAACATTTCATAACCATTATGACTCGTTAAAAAAGTTAGTTTGATCCAATAGTCATAACTCGTTACTTTTAACAATCACAATCCAACAATTATGAATTTAAAAAAAATATGAAATTAATTAATCACACGTGTGTGTGTGTGTATATATATATACCTACTAGTTTCCTTCCTCCAAATCTTCTAATTGAAGATCTTTATAAGAGGTTTACTTATAAAGTGCTTCTTTTTTTCTTTTCTTTTCAATGTGGGATAAACATCTCACTTGAAAATACTCTCTTCACCACACTTAACTTATTATCTATCCAAGCCGTGTTTTTCCAATAATGAGACCATGACACAACCATGCAACCGGCGACTATGATATTTAGTATTGGCAAAGTGTTGTTTCTTCTCAACGGACACAATAAATTTCATTGAAGTTAGGAAAAATATAATTAAATTCAAACAAAAAATCATCATTTAAAATGCTAGTTACTATCTTCAAACACAATATGGAACTTTTTACAAATTATCTTAGGTTAACAAATTGAGTAACTTTTGATTAGATGTAAGATTGACTTTAACAGCTTTTCTATTGAAATATTTTTTTTTATTTAAGAAATTCAAACCTACACCCTTGGAGTATATGCTAGAAAAATTTCAAAAAGACATGTAATTATTAGTTGAAATTAAATGAAACTCATGGTCCTAACTAGTGGATAGCGCCTTATGTTAGGTGCTATTTGACTTTTTCAATTCCAAAAGTTAGTTTAAAGAGTAAGGCTTTCTTTTACACATATAAAGCACTTAGTCTTTTCTACAAACGATGTGGGATAACACAAATATCTCTCCCTTCACACATTGCATCTTAAATTGGTTATTTCTCATCAACTTGTGTGGTATCGACACATAAAAAATTATTCAACCTAGGCTCCATTAAGTATTATCCCATATCGGTTGTGAAAAGAATTGGGTGTTTGGTTATAATTACGTGTAAGAAAAAACTTCACTCATTGAGTTAAATTTTGGAGTTCGGAATGCCCAATAACACCCAACACTAGTAGCAAAGCTCAAGTTAAACAATTTTTCATGTACCAATGCCACACAAGCCGATGAGAAATAACCAACTTAGAGTCCGATGTGTGAAATGGGAGATTGTTGTGTTATCCCACATCGATTGTAGAAGGAGTTGGGTGCTTGATTATAAGTGTGAAAAAAATTCTCTTTTTGAGCTAACTTTTGGAGTTGAGAAGGCTTAATAGTATCCCACACAAATTATTGGCTTGGGTCACTCCTCATTAAAGCCCAAAACCTATGTAAATAAGTAAAAAAAAAAAAAGAAAAGGCAAAAGTTAGTCACGAGAGTGACCTTATAAAAGTTACAAATTGGACTTTTAATTGTAGGGCAACACATTAAAAAAGAAGTAACAACTGCAAGCAACCAAGAGAGAAAGAAGAAAACCATCGCAAAAAAGGAAAAACAAGCCTTTGGCTAAGAGAGGTAGAAAGATGTGTTCTTCATCTTTAAAGTCTTAATTAGATGGTGATTTAAAACCCAATTAAGATGTAATTTGATATGTTGTTCTCGACAATGGGCCCTTCAATTTAAACAATGTCGATCATTAACAATCTTCCATCTTTGGGTATTTCCTAAAAACTCATTTAGTGAGATATAATCCTTTTCTTTATTGTTATGGTTGGAATCCATCTTAATAATGATGATTTTAATGCTTTGAAGTGTATCTTATAGTTGAGTCCAGGAAAAAAATTGTGTATCTCATTATTTGATATAGTGAAAGAGTTTTGAGTGGATTACAATCCTATGGCTTTTTCCAACACCGAGGTTTCCACGTGAAAAAATTTATGTGTTATTTGTGGTTGTGTTTTATTTATTTCACATTGATTAGTATTGATTGATTAATCCAAATTTTAATTGCATAAAGAGATAAAAGAGTTAGAACTCGTGGTTTGTAAATTCATTTCAAATGAGTGTTTTTTTTTCCCAATATATTAGTATTAGAGCTTCGGTTGTGTCGATTGGTTATTTTCTTATGTAGTTAAAATAGAGAAGGAATAATATTCAAGTATGATAAAACTCAATTCCTCTAATTATCTCTTATGAAAGACATTGATAGAGGATCATCTTTACTATAATAATTTACCTTTTTCATTTAAATGCGAATAAAAGAAGCATGCCAATATAGAGGAGGCTAAATGAAAGTCAATCAATAGAAAAACTATAGTTGCTATCGGAAGATGAGTATCTTCTAAATCTATTAATTATATTTCTTAGGAACATGATTGCTACAAAGTTTAAAAGTTGCTAGAAGAAACTTTTGCTAAGAAGAGTTCACAAAACAAGGTTTTTGTGATCGGAGACCTTATAAACCTAAAATACAAAGATGGCGAAGATACTTCGAGTATACTTAAATGACTTTTAAGGATTCCCGAATCAGTTGACATTGATGAACCTTAAATAGGTTAATGAGATACAAGCACTAATCTTATTGAATTCATTACCAAATAGTTGGGAGACTTTGGTATTATCACTTAGTAACTCTACTCCAAATGAAAAGCTCGGATCAAAGACAATCAAAGAAGGTCTTCTTAATAAAGAGAAAAAACAAAAGAAATGGTTAAGCACTTTAGAATCTTATGTACTTTTTTTAAAAAAGAAAAAACCAAAAAAGTCGTAGTAGATTTTTTTGCAATAAGCAATATAGA